CCGTAGCTCATTGCCCCTTCGCTCCAACCGCGGGGAGATGCTATAGTTGGTTCCCTGCGCCTGGTGGATGCTAATCCCTTTAATACCCCCTATCATCTGCCGCCCTGCGGACATTTTAGCATTGCTTTTTTGTTACAAGTTTTCGGAATGCTAGACAACTTGCCTGACATGAAAGCTTAAGCTATGTTCTAAAGTAGATCTCCAAGTCCATGTGACTTAGACCTCTCGGAACTACAGCAGGATGATGGCGTGCTCACAGGACGCGCTCTCGTTACAGGCGAAGACGTGCCGAAGCCGGGACACTGTCCCGCCCGCTTCGCCTTCGGCCCCTGCACCAAGGAATGCTCCGAGGACGGCGAGTGTCCTGGCGCCAACAAGTGCTGTGACACCGGCTGCGGCTCCGTCTGCTCCACTCCCTGTGAGTCCAACCATCTTCCGAACCTGATGTTTATTGTGGGTGGCTCTGTGAGAAGCGTTATGATGACGACCTGCCCTGATATCATGACACCTGCCGGCCGTCCTTCGCGACTGATCTCGTAAGAAGTGACCCGAGGTCGCCTCGCCTCGCAGTGTGTTGAAGCTCCCCAGCTGCGAGCAGGGTGCATCCAGACGCGCAGGAGCTTGCAAAACGTGACGTGAGGGCAGGAAGGGGATGGGCGATGTTTTGTGCTAATTGCGTACCGTACAACATTGAATGAACGATTTTAATCCTTTTCCACGCATGAATGGGGAAGAGGAGGCAAGGGCCACGACTCGCCACCACAATATAGTTACCCTCACTAAGACCCCACAAGCGTGACATCACCTGCAGTAGCTTCAGGGTATTATCCTGTGCAGATTCCCAGCTGTCCCAGTATAGAGCATCCTCCAGTCGAGCTCCCGTGACACTGAAAGTCAGGCAGCTGCACGCGTCACGGCTGAGTGGCCGGTCGTGCGGCGAGCTCCCGGACCCGTTAATACCGGACCTCTGGGCAGTCGCATGAATATACCTGCAGCGGTGTCGGCCACTGGCGTGACTGTGTCGTTACGAAAGCCTCATCCCACCTTTGAAGCTGCAGCCGGCTCTTGGTTACATTATTCGCCCCCTCCGCTCAGCCGGCTACGGCTCATTGCAAGCGCCGTCCATACCTGTCAGCTACATCCTTTTTTCGGTACACACGCACCCCACCCCACCCCCCACACCCCCCACACATCCACACCCCACACCCACACCCACACCCACACACGCGCGCGCGCACACCACACCCACACACACACACCACACCACACACCCACCACACCACACAACACACCCACCACACCCACACACCCACCCACCCACCACACACACCACACACACACACACACACACCACACACACACACACACACACACCACACCCACAACACCCACACACACACCCACACCCACACCACCACACACCCACACCCACACCCACACCACACACCCACCCACCCACCCACACCACACCCACACACACACCACACACACACACACACACACACACACACACACACACACACACCACACACACACACACACATAAACGCACGCACACACACGCTGGTACACTTGCACACACGCACTTACTCACGTGCGTGCATACGCGCATGAGTAAGTGCGGAGTAAGTGCGTGTGTGCAAGTGCGTGCTCAGTGTGCCTAATAAGTGCGTGCTAACGTGCCTGCGTGCGCATGCACGCACGCAGCATGTAAGCACGCGCGCACGCACGCACTCATATATCTCGAATTCCTGCTAGAGGTCTCCGAAGCGTTGTAGCTCACCGTTTTACTGTGCCAGTTAGCTACCAGTCAATACCTTTCGAGAGATCGCCGTTCTTTTCATTACAGGGAGTGTACAGCTTTTCACTACTTCACACAGAACCCCAACCTGCAGATTCTATTGATGCCGTCGATGACCAGCCATTATGTCACGATTTTATCGATGCGTCCCAGAACTAGCGGTGGCTTAATCTTCACCCCAAGGACCTGCTCGAAAATCAATACAGGTTGAATGTCTGCCTCGACCCAAAAATGTGAGAATCTTGAATCCATGCATCTTAATGAGCAGTCCAATACGTAATTAAGCGCATTACTCGCCAGATTACCATCAATTTACGGGTCGCGTAATTGCGCTTTCGTGATCCTCGTTAACGTGTGCTGCGTTTAATTGCAAGTTTAAACGTTTTCCTTTGGAAAGTCCAGCCCATCGTCCTTCCAACCGTGCAGTAAAAACATGAATGTCTATGCGGTTGAGGCTCTAAAGGAAAGCTTTACTTAAAAACATGGAACATCAGCGATGGGTAGTCTGCTAACGACACAGACGCGGGCTAGCTAAGCCTCACGTCTGCTTGTTGTTTTGCTGTTTTCTAAGAAGTCATTTTCCAATTTCCTAGCAGAGAGTGACGCGGCATCTCAACATTCGTTCGATAATACGGTCGTTGATGAAGATTAGTTGCACCATAGGTGGAGGATAGGGTATGCAACCCCGGTTATCTGATACTGGGTCGAGAAGTTGGCAGGCTACGCGGAAATAAGAACCTGGGCCTGTTTACAAACATTGTGGAGTAGAAGTTGTCACAATATTGACACGAATATCGTGTTGACGAATGCTTAAACGTGATGGAATCTCGGTCTCGCGGAAAGATAACCAAAATATTGATAAGAAGCGCAATTTTTTGTTGGACAACATAGAGGTTTCAACAGTGAACACCTCAGGCGCACGCGCCGACGCTGGGATGTGATAATGCTCCAAGTCTAATACCAAAGCTCTCTTTGTTATCTCACACATCCACCCCAGAACTCTGGATCACCCTGAGCAGAACATCGTTGAACCTCACCATCCACCCGAAATGAATGCCGCAGAAAACGAAAACAAAGACCCGAGACTTTATCATCCAACGCGACTGAGGGTCTCCACGTGCACGTTAGTTCGCCCCGCGGGTTGCCTGCCGCATCCATTCAGGTTCACACCGTCGCCTCCTGACGTCACTTCCGTCCATCCCATCCCCGTCCCACTGGTCTATCCGCATTCTGGCCTGCTCAGGCTTGATCTACCTCACGGCCTGATACCGCTGGCGGCCCGCTTTCGGCCAGGCTCAGGCCGGCTTGCGTCCCCGACACTTCCCTTATACTGGCCTGGCCCGGCTCTTGCTGGCGCGACAGAGCCCCCTCTCGTGAAGACAGCATCGCGAGTTCAGCGCCCACCACCTGCCGTGTCGCGACTTCCATGTCACAGGGTCTTGATGGTGATCTTGATGATCTTGATGCACGTTGCGAACACGACAAGCGACACGGCCATTTTGCGTGGCATGGCGCGTCACAATGGCCGAGACCTGTACCGAGTGCTGACCTTCCTGGACGCGTTGCCTTCAGGACCTGTCCAAGCCGGGGTCGTGCCCGGCGCCAAGCGGCAAGAGGGCCAGCTGCGCCGTCGAATGTAGCCTGGACGACGAGTGCCCGGATGCGGAGAAGTGTTGGCTCCAACGGCTGCGGCCCGCTCGTGCAGGGCGCCTTCCAGCGAGCACATCTGTCCTAAGGGCACCACATTCTACAACAAGTGCAACAAGTGCACGTGTGGCGGCGAGGACGAGCCCGTGCGGTGCGAGACCAACATCTGTACCGAGGGTGAGTCCGCGCATCTCATGTGCCGCGAGGACGAGCCCGTGTGGTGCGAGGCTAACATCTGCACCGAGGGTAAGTCCGTGCACTTCATGTGCCGCGAGGACGAGCCCGTGTGACGCGAGACGAACATCTGCACCGAGGGTAAGTCCGTGCATCTCATGTGCCGCGAGGACGAGCCCGTGTGGTGCGAGGCTAACATCTGCACCGAGGGTAAGTCCGTGCACTTCATGTGCCGCGAGGACGAGCCCGTGTGATGCGAGACGAACATCTGCACCGAGGGTAAGTCCGTGTATCTCATGTGCCGCGAGGACGAGCCCGTGTGATGCGAGACGAACATCTGCACCGAGGGTAAGTCCGGGCACGCCACGTGGCCAGCTTGGTGGACACGTGGAACTGGAACACATCATACCATGGACGATCAAGCGAAAGCTTTCCTGAACCAACTCAGTGGAGGGGAGAACTACACAAACGCTTGGTAATCGCCGGGTAGATGGAGTTGTTGATGCGAATATCACGCGGGAGAATGTGTCAAAACGCAACTTGCACGAAGCCCGCTTGGACATCAGGTAGGCTTGTTTGGTGGTTAGAGGCGCTTATCTGCAATTTTTATGTGATATACGAAAAAACGAAGCGGAGGAAGGCTAACCAGTTTCACCATCCAGTCTGAAAAAGAACCTTCAGTTTCATCTGAGCGGTATTTAAGCCCCACAGGTGTTTTTGACCAGCTGGAAGAAACCTAGATGCCGTGAGCTTCTTCTGTTCTGTAATCTGCATTCTGTAAAAGCGGCCTTGTGGATACAAGACATTGGGCTTTACGCTCCGCCACGCAATTCTTCTGGGAATTGGCTAGGAACAATGTCGAGCCATGGTCGCCTTGAAATCTTGAAAGTGCTACAGGCCCAATACATTCCCAGATTATCTACATCAAAATGGATAATCACGAGACAATCTTTTATGCCTCAGGATGGGCTATGGTCAACAAACCATCTCACTGACACTGCTTATTACAGCCCGCAACAAATCCGGTCAAAGCACGGGAAAAGTCATGGTTTCGGAATGACTTCAAGTTCAGCCAAAAACTTATTGCAATACACAAAATCGGTAGTGACTGATTGCCTCTGGATAGGAGAACAGTGCCTGGTCTTTCCATCGCGCCAGCCCGCTGAACCGTGATTATTAGGTGAACGCAGGAGCGGCTCCCCGTCGCTCTAAGACGGTGAGATCAATGCTGTTATTCACGTAATGCCACTCTTCATACATGCACCGGATCTTATCTAATAAACGTGAGGCGTCTATAAACATGGCAGTTTGAAATAAGCTTGGTATTTGGATTTTGGAATGTGCTTTTGTTTTCTATAGCTATTTAGCTCGCTACTTTTCTTTTTAACTGTAACTGAAAGTCAAGTTTTCATGGCACCGTGCGCCAGAGCCCCCTGTGTATGGCTACTCGCCTTAAGTATGATTGAATTTAATCAGCTTAAATAAGAAACAAATGAGATTTTCAGCGCCACGCACGAGCCGCTTATCGTGCATTCCTGATCAGCGATCACCCGTCTCGCTGCAGAGAAGCCTGGCTTCTGCCCTAACAAGGCGCTGCACTCCAAACTGAGGGGTCGAAGCTGCGGCCCCAAATGTTACGGCGACGACGACTGCCCAAGAGACTCGAAATGCTGCGACATCACCGGATGCGGACCAATCTGCGCACCTCCAGGTAAGCAAGCACAAGTCTGATGTGGATATATGCAAAATCATAATGTTTTTTTCCGCCAAAACAACCATCGACTTCCGCCTCTATTAGCTCTGACACTTTCAAGCACGTTTTGAGATTTTTCCTTCATAGATGTCTGGAATGTGTCACAGCTGAACTGCGGTCTATCCGAACTTTCGTCTGGTGGGCCTTTGTAAACTGAGATCATGGCACAGAAGTGTACTGATTCCATTCTCGCAAATTCTCTGCGTGTCTGTTCAGTGCTGCCCCTTAAAATACCTCCCTCTTATCCAGACGTGGATTTGCGTATAGTTTCAATCTGACATGACCCATGACATCCCGACCCGACCTCCGGCCTGCTTTGACCCGTAAATCGTGTCGGTTACGTTCTTGGCTGAGACATTTTGACTCAGGACTGAAAGTGTTCAATAAATTTGCTAGCATGGCATAATTTATATATTACCTAACACTCTGTGGACGTGCGTGAATCCACTCATAAATTATGTCAACTAAAGTAAAGAAGCAAGGAAAAAAATCTGAGGCCACACCGACACACACTCGTCCCCTAACAGCCTGTTCGATGTTTTGATCCTGAGGCTGCTCTGATCTAACCTGACGTGGCTTCTGGTATCGTCATGAAATAAAATAAGCACGAATTTGGGGTGTGGCCACGAATGCCGGAGAGAGACGCAGTGCGTAGGATCGACTGAAATGGACAATAGGCAAGTCAGCTGACCAACGACCAACGACGGCCAACCCCGGCCCGAGGTGGTCGTACTGCAGTATGGCGCGGTACGCGCAAATCTCCGCTGTCCTGTCTGGCAGTAGCGCGGACGTAAGATTATCCATTGAACGGGGCGTCACAACTTGGGTGGTGGGTTCGACGTAAATGCAGCAAGCCTTGTTGAATAAGTTCTCATAACCCGAAAACGCACCTACACACCATTTAGAATGCACTGTGTGGAAACATGGTGTCATTTCCCCAGACAACTTAAAACAGCAAAATGTCTGAAGGGGTTCATTACAAAGGAGAAATAAGTTGCATCACTTTGTCACATATTATGACCTTGCTTAACACAACGATCGACTTATATTTAAAGACAAAACATTACATAAGCTTTTCGCGACAAGGCTTTCCACTCACCTTTTTGTTCCTACCCAGCAACAAAAGTTTTGAAATATCGTGGCTCTCAAGACTTCACCACAGCGGTTTTGAAAGCAGGCCGAGCACTGCCTAAGCTTTGCGGGAGCCATCTGCATGCAGGGCTTATGTATTGAGCCGACCCATGACGACCGCCGAAACGGCACGGTGCACGTGTGCTACCGCGAACATCCTGGAAAGGCCATCTTCAGCCGGGGCTAGCTGACGTCAGTGAAAGGCTTACAAGATGTAGTGTTGCACTGTGGAGCGACTTCCAACAAACTTTTTCGGTAGCTCCCTGCATCACGGATAAAAAACCTATGCAGTTATGACTTTTGATGATGTGGCATCCAAGCATGGAAGACATTCCTTTCATAACATCGGTAAAATGTTAGGCGGGAGAACAAAGTGACAATATTCTCCTGCCAACACTGCCTTAATAACAGACCCTCGCTGGCACCGCAAATAAAATGACGGGTAGCAACTTCCAACCCAGTGCCAATATACATGCCCTGACACGCCATAATAATTTTTCCGTGCTAACTCATATTCCAATTTTGCATATGCCTCTGGTTGCTACGACGCAGTTTGTAAGACCAACCTTGAAAGTATAACAAGTGAAAGATTTCGATGATTATCGGCTTTCCCAAGGTCTGCAGAGACCGGGCCAGCGGGCAGATAGGCGCAGCTCTTGCCACGGCTGGGTACTTACGTGGTAGCAGACCGCGGCTGGGATAAAGAGAAACCTTGAAGGGCCTCCAAGGCCGTATATGAGGCATGCAGACAACCATCAGTTTATGCCTGGCGTCGTCTACAGGTCGGGTTTACTCGGCTGACATGTAACGGCACTTATTTGATAACACTGCAAAATCCTGAGTGCATGGTTCCATGATCTCATGATTTCTGAATCGCCCTCTCATATTGTCACTGGTTGTCTGGCTCATGACGTATGACAATGCCATGTGTACATGCTAGGGATGGTACGGAGCTATTGACGCGCGAAACAGTTCGCGATATTCTGCATGATAAGCTCATGCAAATTGTTGATTTACACATGCATCAACGGAGCTTTTGTTGATGCCTGAAGCAATCGCACACACAGTTTACTGCTTGGCCTTATTCCAGTCATAATTACATATGTTCACATCACTTTTGCAACTATCAAGGCAAATAAATAAACGTAGCTGTAGGTGTTTCTAAATTTCTTCTATAGTTTAGACCTCAAGTGCTTAGAAATGCCAACGGGTTGGCAACAGGTGGGTACAACCAACTACGAATGGGCAGCAGATGGGTGTGGGCAAAGTCTCATGGGTACCGCGTGGATTAAGTGAAGGAAATTTTCCCTATCAAGCCCTCTTCAAAGCGGTGGAAACTACGGAAATGGCGCTGTTTTAATCGTTGATTTAAACATACATTGACCCTCTGCTTGAGGCCGGTTGAGCTGCCGCAGCAAACTCTCTTACATTATGAATACGCCGCTGCGCACGATCATAAGGACGTATTGTGGGACGAAGTTCCGGCTCCGGGCCGCACTGCAGCAGTAACACGGCGCGCTCCTCGGCAGCGGAGGACCGGCCGGGCATCTGCCCAGCGGCAGAGGGCCACGACAGGTGCGGCGACTTCTGCGCCACCGACTCCGACTGCCCGCGGAGCTCCAAGTGCTGCCTCACCGGCTGCGGCAAGATGTGCAAGGTGGCAGGTTAGTGGGCCAGCGGTCGGGACCTGACAGGTCAGGACGCAGGTTAGTGAACCTGCGGTCAGGACCTCTTCGGTCAGGACGCAGGTCGGTGAACCTGCAATCAGGACCTGCCAGGTCAGGACGCAGGTCAGTGGACTTGCGGTCAGGATCTATCAGGGCAAGACGCAGGTCGGTGAAGCTGCGATCAGGACCTGCCAGGTCAGGACACTGGTCGGTAAACCTGCGACCGTCTCAGAAGGTCTTGCCCAGACCGGGGTACAGCCAGAAATCGAGCGATTTATGGGAAAGGTGCGACGGGGGGGGGGGGGGGGGATGGAGGCTCTCGTAGGCATGCCAAGTGCTGCGTGTGAGAGGCATGCATGCGACAGCTCCCATGAATTTTTCATGCAGGACCACGCGTTGGGCTGCAGTGGCAAGGACGTATTCAAAGCATGCACTTGCGCGTAACACTTTTGCACAACACACGATCAGTCGTGCAGCAGCTGGGTGACGAGTGGCGGGCCCATTTGCAGACGAGCCCGGCTTCTGTCCGGCCGTGACGTCCACGCCGAACTGCTTCTACCGGGACAACCAGTGTATGACGAGCTCGGACTGCGGCGCTGGCCAGAAGTGCTGCGACTCACCCTGTGGCAAGAAGTGCTCCGAGCCAGGCGAGTGGCAGCGGCAGGGCGGCTGCTGTGTTTGCGTCGATGGCTGCACGGGAGGAGATTTTCGGTTATGCTGTCGGCTCTATGTCTCTCGTTTGTCCATTCTCTATTTCCGTGACAGCTTCTGGAATTATAGCCTATACAAATGCAACGGTGAAGTCCGCAGGGATTTCTTGCAGGACTAAGCCAAAGCTATCATATCCACGCACAACGCATGCACTGTTTCCTCGCAGGGGCAGTCAGCATTTTATTTACATTATAAGTGGCTTCTGGTGCTCCGAACTGCACCGGGCACTGGTCTGCCTACTGGTTTCCATTGCTTGGCGTGATTCAATGCCATCTCGATCTGCGACGAAATACCTACGATTCATGAGCCAAACACCACGTGATCGCCTAACCGGAAAATCCGCATTTGGCTGGCAGCGCGGCGATTATTGCGGGGGTAAGCGACAAGGCGCAACTCAGTGCAACATGGCGCTCGCTGAGAGTGCAAGTCGCAGGCATGCTGTCGTAAAATATCAATTCATGGAAGATAGCTGCTATCTTTGGCGCCTTGTTTCCATAGTCAAGCAAACAGAGGAGACCTGGCTGCATTGTGGCGAGCTTTTAGGCCACTGACAACGTCTTCCTTGTGAAAGCACAACTAGCATCACAGCCGCATTTGTGTCTATTGGTAGGATCTACCGGAAGCTCGTAGATGCAGCTATCCTTCCCACATTACCCTACCACGTCACATATGCCAGAATTGGCTGCTAGTGACTGCCGTTGCAACTTGAACGACGCATATAAATCAGATCTTATACCGTTCACAAAACGACTTGCCGTCCGGCTTCGGGGACAGGCCTGCGGACAGGCCGATTCTAGAAGGGAGCACCACCGAAGAAAAAGCAGGCTTTTGAAAGAAGCGCGGCTGTGTTCGGCCTTGGACGACAGGACTTAGAGCCTTCGCCTTCACAGACAGCCGTAACGTATGTCGCAGAGTTGTGGATATCTTCCGTGCAAATGCAAAAGAAGCGTCATTTCAAAGCAGCACAAAATGATTTATCAGGGTGTTGTTTTAATCAGCTTACAGCTGATGAAATGCCGATTAAAAAATGTGGACTTTAATTGCCAGGGACTCCTGTCTGCAGTAGCAATTAAGCCTCCTTAGCCAAGGCATTTGCCTTGCGATCACATTCCATTCTTGGTAGCAGACACTCGGAGCTGCACAATTGTCCCGCAAGACCTGATGGGTGCGGTGTAAATGGTTGGAAGTTTTTCAGCATTGGTTACTAGTCGGTTCGTATGCGCTGGCTTTTGTCCCAACACTCTGCGCTTGTACTGAGAAGTGAACAGTTTGTCGCTCTCTCCGACACAAAACACTTCTCTGTTTCTCAGTGAGTCAGCTGGTCAGATTTCTTTCACATCTCACCTGCTCTTCCTGTGCACCATAATCGCGCTACAAAAGCTTCATGTCTTACTTGGGTTTGATCTGCTTCCAAAGTAACCCGCCCATCACGCACAGACCCAATGAACTCCACGCGTCCGCAAGGCTTCTGCACTGAGCACATACGCTCCGTCACCCCACGGCCCGCGCCGCCACACGCCTCCGCTGGCGGGGCTCGGGTCTGTCGGAATTGACGCCCTTACTTGGCCCCGCGCCCATCAGTCTGATTCGCGGTCTAGGCAGCCGGCACCGACCGCTGTCTGCTTCTCCTCCCACGACAGTGACGTTAATGTGATGTGAGGACGATGTGCTTAGTAAGCTTAATGGAGCTTCAAGTAATCACGCACATGTATGGTATGCTATTACCCGTCTGCGGATAAAGAGAGTCGTGACAAACGGATAGACTTACATCCGACGTTTAACACTGATGTGCCGACGGTAACACGTCAAATTCGCCTGGTTGAATCTACTTTTTTCTCACCATGGCTCAGCACCGCCGCGACATGAACATCTTTCGCAAACGTCGTCGCTTTAGAACACCCTGACCTATTTTCTGAAAGACGCAAACCGTTGTAAGATAAGAGTTTTGGTATGTCTTGAACACCAATGCCGTAAGTATGGATGTTTCACACCATTTGCTTCAAAGTTTGATGTTTGACATCGCTGGCAAGTGTAGCCATGGGAGCTCTATTTTACTGACAAAATCATAATTTCACCTCAAATAGGAAGGTAGGGATGCAGCCAGGATTCTTCCTAATGGGGGTGAAGGCTGCGGGTGGAGCTCGGTAAGAACGCACCACACTGTTTTTAAACTTTTTGTCCAAAGGGTCAATGATGAAAAATTGGGTACAATGCGAGCCTAAAAAGGGGGTGGGGTGAGGGCACTCCCTTTGACTGCACTCGTGTTGAAAGTAACTTAGCTTTGTACAACATTTATCATCTGGTAAGCACCCGGGCGATCCTCGATATCTGCATTTGTAATTTTCCTTTCTAGTTCATCCCAAATTGATTTTTCGTGGTTTTAATAGCGGCCACATTCGAAGGTTGCACGATCATATCGCAAAAGGCAAAGATTCCGTTCTACATCAATAGCCAGGTGAAGGTCCACGGCTTGCCTGAATGTGACGGCGACGGGGCCCGACATCCAGACTCCTCAGCTGTGCGCCGACCCACCACACCGCACCCGTCAGCGGGAACGGTGCGGTCGGTCAGCGCTATAATCCGCCCGGGTCATGTCAGCCACGTGACCAGACTCCACCCAGGCTAAATTGATGGGATACCAGGACCCAGGCGTCATCACCGGCAGGGACAGCCCGCAGAGGAGCGCAATGACCGATAGTTGATGACCGGCTCCCATAAGGGTAGCTCCGATTCTTCGGCTCTCACATGAGTGGTCCCGGTTCTTCGGCTCCCACATGGGTGGCCCCGGTTCTTCGGCTCCCACATGGGTGGCCCCGGTTCTTCGGCTCCCACTTGGGTGACCCAGGTTCTTCGGCTCCCATATGGGTGGCCCCAATTCTCCGGCTCCCACATGAGAAGCCGCAGTTCTCCGGCTCCCACATGGGTGGCCCCGGTTCTTCGGCTACCACATGAGTGGTCCCGTTCCGAATCCCCCTGCGCCATGGGCCCTGAACGCTAATATGGAAACTACAGTGCTGACGCTCCGCAAAAGAGCGCGTGACGACGCGCGTCACGCTACCGGCTTCAAAAACGAGTGAATGTAGATGTCTTGGGCTAAACGAGCACCTTGGTGTTAGCTGCCGCTACGCTGTGCTGCGGAACGTGACACACATTTTAGCGATGGACGGCGGGACTGGATGGCAGGATCGTACTGGTCTGAAGGAGTGCGCTGATCATTATGCCTTGTTTGCAGTCGATGAAAAGCCTGGCCTGTGCCCCAATCCAGAGCAGCTGACGTTGGCCGAAGGCATCTTCTGCAAGAACGATCATCAATGTTCGCAAAACCTGAAGTGCTGTGGAAATAACAAGGGAGACCAGGGCTGTACCCAACCGAGTAAGTACTATTTGCTGGACATTTGGTCTGATGTCATTTCAGAAGCCTCTTCGCAGAATAGCTGTGTCATGTGTTTGCCTTGCGGTCCTACCATCGGTTAAGTTCGTAGGGGTTTCTTACTTGCGTTTCTTCATAAAAGATGTTTACATACCTATTTTTAGCCTGTATGTAGATATATGCTTAGCATATAACCTTACTTGTCTCCATTAACACCTGTCCATTTCTACCGTACCTACCGCGCGCCCCACCCTGGCCCTCCAGGAGCTCCGCCACTCTCGATGCAGTCAGTGCAAACTACGCGACACCCCGGCACCCCACCGTTTCACACAAAAACACCGGCGTTTCTACGGGGCCGGAAAAAAAATTAAACGCACCGCTCGACCTTGGTGACTCCGGCGGTCCCTGGGCCCCAGTGGCTGTCTCATAACCCCTGGCACTCAAAATGATAGTGTGGACCGGTTGTGGCCTCCTGCGTCTCATGCGAATTGAACTGACATTCATGCTGACACGCTGGATGAAGTGTTATCGGCTTTCCTCTTTCACAACCCGGATTTTGCGATTTCATTCAACAACAATATTGTGTTGCGTTGCCTTTATGCCCACTTGGTAACGAGACGAGCCCTTGTTGTTTTATATAACTTCGTTTACAAACCGCTCTATTGCTTCTTTTGTTAATATACTTATTTTCTTGTCATTTTGGTAATATTCGTAAAACTTTTTATTCACGCTATTCTATCAGATAGGCCCAAGGCAGAGCCTGCCTGCCTCGATTCCTTAAAAAGCCAGATTTAGATGGGACAGAAGAAAAAAGTTTTCTGCAAGGACGACAATAACATATCTGAGCGCGATATGGATCGATGCCAGACTGGAGTATTGCCTGATGTCACAACAGCGCTCCCTGCCGTATGCTCGTAAGGTGGCTCGGCTGACCCTGCTCTAGTCTTCCCCGATTGACTCTCCTCTAGTCCCCTCTAAATCTTAAAACCTTTAATTTCAAATCTGAAATTTCAATCTAAATATAAAACTTTAGACGATTGGACCAAAACACCAGCTTTTATCTCACTCACCACCACAAGCGAGGACAGGACAAAGATCTGCCGGCAACGGTAAATAACACATGTCACGCAATCCGTGCATCAATGATGTCGAAGTTCGTTTCAAAACTGCCAAGTGCATGTGCGCATGTCATCTCTTACAGTTACCAGGCAAAGTTTACAAAACGCCATCTGGCAGCTTCATTCGCTATTGACACTGAGGTGTCAGCATCTCACAACCCTTGGCAATGCGTGTCCAGAAGTTCAGGTCTCACCTAGGTTTCGTTACTGCTATGCAGTCATGCTTATTTCTATAAGATGAATGAAATATAGCAAAAATGTCACCACAAAAGGTGCACTACCATTGCACTTAAAAACAGAGATTCGGATCATCCCACACGGCGGCTCGACGCCTCGCGGTCGGGCCAATTTCTTGGAAGATGTTCTTGATCTGTAGCCGCCCACATCTCACATTGACACCAAGACAAAGCCGCGCGGACACGGCCGCACCACGGCCGTCATCGGGGTCACGCCGGCGCTGACGGGCCGACGGCGGCGTCTGTTTCAGCCGAGTACCGCACCACCTGTCGCAATGTGCGCTGCACGAAGCGCGGATATTACTGCGTCGACACGGATCATGGTCCAGAGTGCGTCAACAGTGAGTACGCCCGTGGCATCGCCTTGACCCGCGTGCCGTTTGTGAGGTGCTCTGACGTCACTGGTGTGGCTCGAAGGGCTTTTGGCGGTACAGGCGTGTAGCGGACTATCTGCACGCTTTAAAATCAAAGCAATGAATGCCTTAGTGTGATGTTACACGGCGCTTAACCAAGTCAGACGTCATGATAACACTAGGTACTTTATGCTCCGAGTACTATCTTTTTCAGATGCAACGATGCTGTCATTGATGGTAAATTGTATGCAATTATTTAAACATCGTTTTCAATCATGCCCCTAACGCAGTTTTGAAATTCCCGCAGAGCCAATTTCGGACGTGCCAAGACGTTGTGTGCGGCGAAAAAGCCAGCTGTCTTCAAAGCACCGACAGGGCTATTTGCGTTCGTAAGTAGCCATGACCATGACCATCGGGCCGGTATTGTGCATTCGTGCCACTATTCGTCCTCCGTGGCCATAATTCGTTCAAGTGCCGACCGGACTGGGTAACCCACTTAGCAAATTGCTAACCAAACACATGTGAGCCTGTTATGCTAACCAGCGACACGAGAATCAGCACTGAACTTGCAGCTCAGCGCGGCGCGTACTCGACGTTATCATACTATAGGCGATATAACCATGACTGCTTTTCTGCGACTTAGATATACCCTGACATATGAATCAAATATTTATGTATATATATATACACATTTCCTTTCCACCCTGGATATATCTAAATCAGTGTTGTCATTTGACCCGTATCGAACACAAAACTGTAGGCGCCTCTGTGAAGCTTCGACTTCTTAATTGGAAGCTTAATTGGTGAAGCATCAACCAGTGCTCAAGGCCTTCTCTAAATCTTGTGTCGAACCAGGGTCACACCAAGTAAGGCTGGCTTCTTAAAGTGTAATCGCATACCGCTGTTAAAAAGTGTGCGCTCAAGAAAACTCCCAAACGTCAGTCTCCACAACGCAAAGCAACACGGCGAACGGAATGAGGCCTGAGCCGGAGCTCCTCAGCGTTTTATTGCACTGCCAATTTGGCATCTCTCACCCCTGGTGACGTCAGCTAAGCCCGCCCCTGCCTCGCCGAGACACCTCACACCCGCAGAGCGGTGTTGCAGGAGTGCCGGCGGTCCATCGTCTCCAATCACCCGTGACCCGGACCCCAGCGGGTCCGCGTCAGCCGCTGACCCCACCTTGACCTGTGGCCTCTGGCGCAGCGCACACCAAGGTGGCCACTGTCCTCTCATCGCGACGGCGCTGCGTCCCTGCAAGACGCCGCGGGTCCTCTGTGAAGGGGACGACGACTGCGAGGGAGGGAACATCTGCTGTACAGCAGGCTGCGTGAGGAAGTGCGTCAAACCACGTGAGTGCCCAAACTCGTCCGCAAAGGGACAGGCACGGCGCCAGCGGGGAAGACGGCTGGGGAGCGGGAGCATCAGTCGCACGTCTGGAAAGAAATAGCATTAAGCCCAAGTCGCTACATGAAAAGAACAGGACTAAATGTCGTTTACTCCCCCCTCCCCACCCTATTCCCCACCTCCACTAGGAACCCGCAGTTCCGCGCAGCGGTCGTTTTCAGCCTAGAGCTTTGGGGATGAAAAGTGGTGCATTTGGAGCAGTCGTGATATGCTTCATCATAGTGTGGGCACGGCAGTTTTTACGATCTCCTCAGGCGGATGAAATTGTCCTTTTGCGGCTTGCACATGCCATGTTTAATCGCCTGCACGTCATGGCCAAGGTTGCAACATGCACAGTGCAATGCTGGCTGAAATTTTTTTCAGAACGAAAGCACTGTTCAATGCCATTATCCGTACGAGTTTCATTTTTGTGGTGTGAGCAGATAACAAGCTTGACCGATATTGCATCATCGCCCGCAGATTATACGGTTATATCCTTGCCAAGCCTGCTTTGAAGGTTAGCGGTATCGTGTTGTGATGACAAGGCGGGCAGATGTGTGGGCGGAGGAGATAAGAAAGTTAGGCACGGGTAAAATCGCCTATGACATCAGCCGACAGTAAATAAAATTCCATTAATCCTGAAGATAGCTCGTCCGTTGTTGCGGAACCAGGCTGTCTTCTCGACACCTCACCTGTCACCTGTCACCTGTCACCTGTCACCTGTCACTTCACATCTCGGGCATCTCCCGATTCTCCAAAACCACAGATCGTCACCTCCAGCCGGTGTGATTTCCACGTGTCCCGAGCCCCTGCTCCGCGGGCCACGAACTGCTGCTTCACGGAACCCGAGCCCTGAGCTGCCTCTCCATCGGTCCCGAACCCCTGCTCCTCGTGCCCCTGCTCCGCGGGCCTCGTGCCCCTGCTCTGCGGATCCCGAGCCCCTACTCCGCGAGTCCCGTGCCCCTGTTACGCGGGCCCTGAGCTAGTGCTCAGCCCCTGCTCCACGGGCCTCGTGCCCCTGCTCCGCGGGCCCCGTGCCCCTGCCCTGCGGGTCCCGAGCCCCTGCTCCGCGGGCCCCGAGCTCCTACTCCGCGAGTCCCGTGCCCCTGCTGCGCGGGCCCTGAGCTACTGCTCCGTGGGTCCCGAGCTCCTGCTTCGCACCGCCGGCCGCCCGCGGCACGCACGCCCGCGATCTGCGCCGGACAACGCGTGCTGCTGCCGAATGCCTCGCGTGTCTGAACCGCTCGCGAAGCGGGCCGCCAAACAACTTCCGTCTGCGCCGGCCGCCCGGCTGGACGGCAGGCCTGTTTGCTGTCACGCGCGCTGGCCGCGCGGCCTTGCTGACAGCTGGCCCGTCGTGACGCGAAGGGACGGTTCCGGCGGCGTCCCAGCGCAGCTCACGGCGGCTGGAGTACGCTGCCTGCCGTTTTTGCGCCGGGCGTGAGGAGGCAGGTATGCAGTCATGCGCGTGACAAGAGACGAAGCGTGCAGCCATGTGGTTCGGGGCGATGCGACGTTCAGGAAGCGTGCCGCGATACGGCTTCTGGACGGGAGGAACGGGGGGAGGGGAGGGGGAGGGCGAGACTTCCGACCAGTGGGGATCGGCTGCCTTCTAAACAGGAAGACGCCACGGTCGGCGTCAGTCACGTCTTTGATCTTGGCCGAACGCGAGAATTCAGTGCGTGAGGCCCCTGTTCTGTAAGTATACCGAGCCGATGTTGTGGATGACAGTGTTGCGGTAGACTGAAGAGGAGTGTTGCCGGTTGTGCAGTGGTTCAGCTGCCCGTGTGGTAGACTAAAGGTGTGCGTCCGATTCTCCTCGACGCCTGTCCTTCCTGCCAGGGTGAGACGCCAGAGAGCCTCAGCAACTGAGTTCGCCTTAAAGCCCCACCGAAACCGTTTTGAACTTTGCTTACCTTATTGTGCAATGGTAGGACTAGACCATGCCAAGCTTTTAAGCCTCTTTGGAACCGATGGGCGTCATGGATACGGCTCCATCGTGACATCTACCGAGGCCACGCGTATGGTGAAAGCTGGTGCATCCTTATGAACTACTACTTTTTTGCCTTATCTATTCATGATAGTGTCAAATATTATGCTAATTATTATTCATGACATATCGTTAATTATGCTAAGTTTGCACTGAAAAGTGACTTGTGTGTGAATATTGGTCTTGCTTGGTCTAACAGTTTTTTCCTGTGTATGTCTTCAAACGCTCTATCTGTCGAAAATCAGCTCCAATGCTCCCACTTAACCCGAGTAACTCCAGCAACCCCTGCCCCTTACCAAGTCCGCACCGCGCCGCGGCCTGGCCCGGCCTGTCGTGTGAGCCGGCCGCGACCCCCCTCCCCTCCGTCCACCGTCACAAGCCCGCCGTGACCGCCTCCGACACGTTTCAGTGCGCACCGACTGCGCGTCCATCGGGCACTCCCTCTGCCGCACGGCCGGCTACACCTGCCAGGATACGCCCAAAGGAGCCGTCTGCGTCGAAGGTGGGTCCGCCCCGCCCGCGCGCGCGGCTGGGGGGGCGGGGGGGGGGCATCGATCGGTGCAGGAGTGCGGGGCGTGAAAGAGGCCGATTGGTACAGGAGTGAGGCGGCTGAGAGGCACCGATTGGTACTGGAGTGCGGCGCCTGAGAGGCGCCAGTTGGCACAGACCTACGGCAGGTGAGAGGTGCCGATTGACGCAGAAATGCGGCGGGTGAGAGGGGCAGCGATCGGTACAGGAGCGCGGCAGGTGCATTATCAGGCAGTGGCGCCTGTTAGGATATTGAAGATTAGTTTCAGAGGTCGCAGTCATCCGCGCTGGAAGCTGTTGGAGGCCGAGATGAACATGCACGCAAAACTTTTATGTGGGGATGGCGTTTACGGAGGGTGTGTTAGCTATCTGTCCATGTAAGCGGGGTTTTGGGCGAAGCATAACAGAGGTTTCAAAGCTATAATGGTTGGCACTCATTGGACATTTGGCAAATGGCAAGACAAAGGTAAATGCAACCGTAAAAAATGACAGCGGATGATAGCGTGCTGAAAACCCAGGGCGTATATCACGCTCGCTGACGGCGTGCACATTTCAAACGTGTCATGCTATATAAGGCCTCGTCTTTCTGCTCTGCAAATTACGACGAGATCCTGGCCGTGCTAGCCGTGCTCCCGGTGCGGATCTGACGGGGAGTAATCCCGACAGTTCTGTCCTGTCGTCGTCACACGACGCTGACGCTGTTGGCGTTCGTCGGCGGGGGCCAGGAAGTCGCCATCCGCCCCCTGCAAGTCACCGAACAGTCCTCAGGGCCCTGATGGTATCTGGCCAGCTTATGCTAATGGTCGCCCGTGCTCGGTGGCAATGTGTGGCCTTCGCGGCAGGCTGCGATGACGACGGTGAAGGGATGAATTTGACAGGCGTGTGGATCATTACATGGTCTTCGAAGAATCACCAATCAGTGGCAAATGATACTGCGGTAGATCCGTACTGGAATGCTGTAGTTTCTCAGACTGATGCCGGCGGATTCAAGGGACATCCACTGACAAAGGACGAAAGACGGCGAACAAGCGACGCCTGGGAGTGAACGAGTTCTGAGCTGGTCTAAGGAGTACGGGACCAAAATCATGGATGTAAAGAAGATGCCAGACGGATACATGGATGCAAGACATTGATGCCGCTACCAGCAGCGACGGCCACCATTCTTAATTAAAAACCAACACAATACATGCAAATGGAAATGATATTCAAGGCAGATAAAAAAAGAGTTCTAAACATAGGCTGTATCCTAAATTGGAGATCATTACTTAGTAGTTACAATTCGGAGCGTACACCAATCGATGGGAACAATAGCTGGAGAACTAAATACCGGATTGCGCAATACTGAACAGCTATACATATTACCGGAACACCTCAGTTAAGTCCTCAATCACCATCTACCTATTATTTAAATTAGTGGGCATTTCGGCATTTTACAACATGCCCTGCTTAATGCGCAATGGACATATCTTCATTTCAAAAGCGACGGAAGGTCTGGGTGTGTAATATACGAGGTAGCGGGTTATCGTGCGACCCTCTTGTGTGCATAAGCCAACAAAGGCAGTCTTTCCCTTTCACCGGACAGCCTCGTCACGTCAGCTGGCAGCTGTACATGTTCGTACTGCACCCCGCTCTAACCAACTCCCCTGCTTCCCTTTCAGATGCCGCCTCATGCGAGCACAAGCACTGTCCAGTCGGCTACATCTGCCACGACCAGTTTACCAGCGGAGCCCGCTGTGTACGAGGTGAGTGGGAGAGGAGCCTCGATGAACAAGGACGATGACCACGTGCATCAATTAAATCAGCAGCTATTTTATCCCATGCTGATAATGTTTGGGTTTGGTCCGCTAGTAAAGGTTCAGAGGTTTCGAGAAGTTGCTCTGAATTATTGCAAAAAAGCTCATCGGTTTTCGCATATTTGTTCATCCAGGAGTGCTCTAAACCCCCACATCAAAACAAGTTACATTGACTTTCTTGAATGTCAAGATGTGTGTTATTATGTGTGATGTTATGTTATGCGATATGTGTAATTTATGTATGTATGTATTAATGTGTAAGGGCAGTGAGAGTGAGACTAAATAAGTCTGGTGACGAAGCGGACCGCTGAATGGCCAGTGGGTCCACAACAGCTAGACCAGCTCTCAGATGACCAGAAGGACCCCCGAACAATCAGAGGCGTTCATTGGTGACCGGATGAATCCTGGGCGGCTAATGAAGCCCCTGATCAGTCAGAGGGAACAACACGAGGCAGGGGCTCCTCAAAGGCCCCCTCAGTGCCCAGAATGGCTTCGAGCAGCTCGAGCGACCCTTGAGAAGGCAAGGGGTCTCTGAGCATCTGGGTGGTCCGAGCAGTAATTGCGAACCCTGAGTGGTCAGAGAGCCCCTGAGTAGTTTCTGGGTCCTCCGAGTGTCCAAAAAGCGTCAGTGAAGGGACAGGAGGCCCTAGGTAACTGGGAGGTTCCTTATGCGGCCAGGGTGCCCCTGATGGACAGGAATGGTGCGAGGCCTCCAGAATGGCACGCTCAGCGGCCAGAGGGGCCCAAAACGGCCAGGTGAGACCTCTTGAGGAGCCTTCTGAAGCTAGTGCGCCAAATAAGCTTCTGCATTGGCAGAGCAACTCTTTTTTGAAGCTCGACGTTTAATGCCGACATTTTTTTTTCGCCTTGTGCTATCCAAAAAGCAGCCCTCCCATGAGGTCTCTGGATCTACCAGATCCTCAACTTTGGACAGTCTGCAACCCCAAATTCTAGAGTTTCCGGGACCGCGGAGGAGGGGGGGGGGGGGGGTCTGGATCCCCGAGCACACGGAATCTCCAGACATGCTCCATACCTAAAGCAACCTGGATAAGGATTAACGAGCAATGGGAAACAGTTTGAGATGATTGACCGTTTATCAAGCCACAGCTGTCACGTTGGTTGCTTAAAATGTGGCGAAAGGCCCAGGATGAACTCATAAATCCTTGACTTATTGTTTACGTGTGATCTTGGGACAAAACGGCCTCGGGATGTAAAGGTCAACGGGTTCAAGTCCGCCTTTACGGCACCGTTGCAGATAATCATACCATGACACGGATGTCCATTGCTGACGCATGCATGCATAGATGACCTTTTGGCAACGGCATAATTTTGCTTTCTAAGACATATATTTAGGGATAATGGACACTAATCGAGTGTTGTATACCAAGCAAATCCTTTTATCAAGCATGCAAACTCTTGGCATTTGGTATCCTTATTCAAAGCTGAGCAAAGAGCTACCGAACAACCGTGCGATAGGGAGACTGCTGTTTTTCCCTGCAAACTGGGTATGAATCCGCACTGTAGTACTGAAAACGCTGGCACAACCAATACTGCTGGGTACTGAAACCACGAGTTCAGGCACGGCATGGACAAAACTATAGCTTCTACTGATGACCACTAGATGGCGGACGACTGGCACGCGACCAAATCCACAGCCGCCCACACCTCCGCCAGTCGCGTAGGCAAATCACGACACAGGCAACTGCAACACCCTTAATCATTTTAGTCGCTCTCGCTTGTTGTAGCGGACCCCTAAAATACTTACGACAGTGAGCATTGAACCCGCCATCGCTTCCCCATCGCATCGCATCGCAGTGCCTCACAACTCAAGCGATGAGCTGGCGATGGTCCGCTCTGGTTAGACTCCCTGGCGCTGGGGTTCTTGTGTCCTGAAAATGCTTGTGCAGAGTTCTGGGATTCAGGAAAGGACACTATTGCTGAATAGAATATAATATTACGTGACATAACATATGATGTCCAGAGTGGACGCTCTTGCAACCGTTCGGGGTCAACACTGCTACCAATCTCTACAGCGCGCCTGGACCCTCCGTCAGAGATTGTGCAGGTGCAGGGGAAGGGGTGGGAGGGGTTGGGGACTCCCATCCACGGTGGTCGGTGGACTGGCTCTTGGCTCATGACCGCGCTATGCTCCGGTAATGATGAGCTGCTTTGAGGATATTGAATGAAGCGACGGATGAGCATGAGAGGGTGAATGAAACAAATGTTCATGCAATGGGTGGGACCTTCCACGACATTTACCCTCGTTGATGTAATGTGAGTGCAGATGCTGTGGACGTTGCCGACGCTAATTGCACTTAGTACAGTTCCCGACCAAAGAAAAACACTCTTCCCTTTCGGCCCTTGGATAGTTTCTGAACCATCCCTTTTTTCCATCGCGTGCGCCTGTTCGACCCTAGCTCGGGCTGACACGAGCATTGTAATGCTCGGAGGAGTTATCGCTCGGGTATGCCCGTATTATTTCCCCAAATTATATGCATATATATATATGTATATATCTATATATATATGCGATATAAGGCGGACTGCATGCCTACCATAACTGGAAGTCATCTTTCGCAGAACGGGAGTCCTGCGCCACCAAGATCTGCGCCCCGGGAGAGGATTGTTACGAAGAGGAAGATGGTGCAATTTGCATTCAGAGTGAGCAAAATAATCGACAAGTGTGCACAATAAGTTATTGATACGATGCAAATAAATTGAACAGTTAGTCATGGCACATGCTTTGAAATGTTATGTTTATCGCCCGTTTTGCCTGTTTCAGTGATTTGCACATAATGCTTACTTGTGCAGGCCTCGCCATTGCAGCAGTCATATATACGGCAATCAATGCCTAAGTGATAGATATGCTATACTACCGATATGCCTGATATCCTCACGTCTTAGCCACAACTAGTTGCTTCACATATTTTGTCACACGAATCACTAAAGCATGCTTCGTTTTCAGATTACGTCGCTGAGGGATCAGTCAATACAGGTAAGTCATTATGATGGGTGTGGCACGCAAACATACAAATATCATTCCTTAATTGCATGCAATCGCCTGCTCAAATGGTAGGTTTGCTAAAGTGATTTTTTTCACCAATGTAACACTGCGTAGCGTTAGAATGATTAAACATATTCTCCTTCAATCCGCTGAATGCGCTCCGAATTTTACGCCTCATTATTGTACGTTCCCACCACATATCCCTTGAACCAAGCGGGTTTCAAACTGCACGAGTCCATGGCAGCAAGCAGGGGGTTTATGTGGCTCCCTCCATGCTGGTTAAAATGAACAAACGCTCGGCCAAATTCACTACAGCCAGAACCAAAGCCATGTTTTGGGAGGATGTCTGGTCCGCGCCCCCGAATGGCTTTTGTGAGCTTGTATCTGCTTGTGAGCTGAGGTCTTGCAATTAGCAGGAGCAGTGATTCCCGAGGAGTGCGGCCTCAGGTCGGGTCAGGTCAGATCAGATCATAGCCCAGCGGAGGGTCAGGTCACGGTCACGTGACTCAGGTGGTGATCATCGTGACCTCAATCGGACGCCACCACCCGGACGATGCGAGCAGTGCAGCCGGCGTGTGATGATGCAAAATTGGTGGATGTAGCTAGGTCTAACGAAGAACGTGCACTTTCCTCAAGTGAACGGGAAAACGAAAAGGTGTGGGATTGTGGTACATAACCATTCTAAAATGCAATGAATTTAACACAACTTTATTTTCCATGCGTAAATCAAAGCGTATAATTCCTTTGAATTACGAACTTCATACCAGTTTTTCACGCTTGCCGAAAGGTTTCAATAGAAAATCCCGTGAAACCGTTTCTCAGTCTATTCATTGACTGATTCATTCGTTCGATCGGCACAAATCCAATGTAATGATTCGAGGGCGTTTTCGGAGCCAGCGCTTTGCGTTAAGATTTTGAGTTGCATTTTTTGTCACACGGTGTCGGGCTAAGCTTCCTATGGCGACTAAACAAAATCACCATGCGGCTTTTGTGACAATTATTCCATTCATGAATCATGCATCATGCGAGTTTGAAGACAAGCTTAGCAAGGTCTTCGAAGTCAGCATGATAGTGAGGACTGCTATTTCAATACTTAGTACCTGGGGCGTAGGCTAGCAGTGCGAAGGGTGGCGACGGGGGGGGGGGGGGGGGAATGTAACCACTGGCAATACACCTGCGCACTGCGAACAGACTAGGAGATCCCTCCCCTCCCCCTAAAAAACCTTAAAGGTACAAAACCTAGCGTCATAATGAGCTCGCGATGTTGGTTTGTCTTGGAGTCTTAAGCAATTGTTGCCGCTGCACACCATGCGTATTCACTCGACTATCGCTTAGTCTTGTCACAATCCTATGGCTGTTGGACTCTACATGCAGGTGCGCCATACTGGTGTCTATAAGCTGGGAACCAAATTAGCCGTCAGTGATCGCCTAAATTCCGGAATTTTATTGAAAGGGTCGTGGTGAAAACCAGCGCTCATTCTTGCCGGGAGAGGGGGGGGGGGGGGGGGCGGTGAAAGCCGCATCGGTCCCACCCCTAGTCTGAGCCACTAGTTAGTATTACATATTGAAATTTCATCCCCCAAACGTGGCGGCCGCGTCGTCCAAGCTTCACCAGGCACATCAGGCCAGCACTTGTTACCAAATGGACCTCGTGGATATCTGTGTATATCCGATCAGCGTCTTCTGGGTGCGGCCCGGTGAGTCAGCCGATACCCCCGCCCAGACCTTCGCATAGTCGCCGTTCGTCGGTCATGCACCGCTCCCTGTCAACGGAAGGGGCCTGGCCGCCGCGCAAGGAAATGCCTCCGTATCAGCCGGGCGGTGCGGGACACCGTCGGTGACCCTGACGCGCCATCCAACGCTGCTCTCCGCCCCGGGGCCTCCACGGATCCCTTGTTACGGCTTGGTACGGGCTCGGACGTGATGCTGCCGTGTGGAGATGGCG